TATATACACCAGGGGTAGGACACACCCACTAAGCCGACCACCACGTTGGCCACTAACCAACTAACGCCACATACTTCATGCATGCTAACAAACTGATACTTACTCACCCAGATCAGCCCGAATTACTTGACAATGCAGCTTGTCATGCTCCAGCTGCTCACACTGCTCGCCGCTTCACACGACGTTGCCGCGTCACACGGCACTACCACACCGCATCGCACGATTGGATGGCATCTCGCTCCCTTGCACGCTGCAGCCATGACTTTCCGGAACAGTCCTAAGATAAACTACATGCAAAACTCAAACATGCTAATACATGAGATCAAGATTAAGGCTAACAAGATCCACCGAAACAGGAGATCTCACAGAACTAACACGCGAAGAACGCGAACCCCGCACAGAGTGACCAACCCGAGAAGACGGGGGGAGAATGAGAGGATGAAACAACTCGCAAAAGCATAGGCCGATCCGGCAAAGCAGCAGAAGCAGCACCACGGCCCAAACCACCGCGCCGACCAACCGAAGCCCCCCGCGAGCGAGAAGGCCGTCCAGGGCGACGCGGTCCATTACGGCTGGACGAAGAAGCAACGATGGATGTATAAGACACCAATGAAAACCGCAAGCAATACTACAGCAAGGGAAGCAACCTATTTGTAGCCCCGCGCCACACAGCAGGACTCCAGAAAACGCGAGAAAATCCGCACCGATGAGAAAGAACAGCAGGCTCTGGAACCAACGATCAAAGCGGCAGCGACAGCACCATGTATATGGGAAAAACTCCAGAAAACGCGGGAAAAGCAGCACCAATAAGAAACGATAGCAAGCTCTGCAGCCAATAGTCAAAGCGGCAGCGACAGCAACATCTGAATGGAAAGATCGCAGCGGCACCGCTGTCTACGGAAGGAAAACGGCAGCGCATAACAGATAAAGACTGATCTGAATGGAAAGATCGCAGCAGCACCGCTGTCTACGGAAGGAAAATGGCACTGACGAAGCAAAAAACACTAAACGAACCAACGCAAACGGTACACATGTTCAAATTATTTTAAATGGAAACCTAGATACACCACACATTCCTACACGGTAATTTCCAAAAAATACACGTGCCCTGGGCTGGATTAGCAGGGAGTCGTTTTCAGCCAAGTGGTTAAACCTCAAGGCGAAAACATCCCGAGATATAGGGGTTTGGGTATTTGGCAGACCGTAAGTCCACTCACAATGCAAGTATCATAAATATGGTGACCCACTTGCAATTCATCATTAAACTTTAATTTGGTACTACTACTACTACTCTCTCCTCTCTCTCTCTCTCTCTCTCTCTCTCTCTCTCTCTCTCTCTCTCAATCTCTTAATTACAATGCCGCCTCATATTTTTATTACATAGCACTGATAACCGTTATGATAATAATATTGGCGGGAGGCCTAAGTAGTCAAATGATCATTGAATCTATCTCTCTGTGATGATTGATGCGCCACAAACCCACTTGTGATATTTTGTTTCTGATGGTGATATACTTCTAGTCCAACTGTTTTTATTCCAGCAGAAACGAATTGACGAAGAATTTTTCTCATTGCATGAAAGTCGTGTTTGTTTTGCAGATAAGCTCATTAACCTCAGATGAGCTGATCCAGTTGGATCCCGCCGTGCTCTGCATGCCCCACTGGCCAAACAAGGCAATAAAGTTCATAGTAAATGTAGTCAACACTACAGATTTCTACGTTGGTTTCAATGTATATATCATCAGCAGGAATGCAGCGCGGGACAAGAGACCTGCAGCTGAAGCATCGAAAGGAATCCTGCAACCACGATCCACTAAAAGACAAATACTACAATGTATATGTCATCTGCCCGTAGAAGATTACTTTGTGTGGAGCCGTGTTGTGACTGAAAGTGTCGAAAGCATAGACATCACTGGTTACATGGTTGAGGAAGAGAGTAAGAAACTGCCCTTTATTATTCTTAATGAGGTGAGTTCCTAATAATGCAATGTTTTTTCTTGTATGGCAACGATGAATCAGTAAAAGCGAACTGATGATGATATTGTTTCTTTGCCTGCAAGCCCGGCATGTAGCTCAAAGGAGCTGATCCAGTTTGACCCGCCAGAGCTCAGCCTCCCCTTGATACCAAACAAGCCGTTGGTGTTTTCAGTTAATATAGTCAACAGTGCAGAGTGCTATGTTGGTTTTGAAAAATATAACCTGGAAACAAATGTTGCCCGGTACTACTCACAACCTGAGGGTGCAGTTATGCCACCACGGTCAACTAAAAGTCTCGTTGTAGAAAGGGTACCAAAGAAAAAGAAGCAATGCCAAGACGGTCCCCTCAAAATCTCGAATGTGGCCCGGTACTACACCGAGAATGCAGTTAAGCCACCACGGTCCACTCAAAGACTGGTTGTAAAAAGGGTACCAAAGAAAAAGGAGGAGCTGCTTAGTGAGTGCCAAGACGACAAGTTCCTTGTATGGAGCTGCTTAGTGAGTAAAGGTGCCAAAGCCAGCGACCTTGATGGTTGTGCTATAGACGAAGGGAGTAAGGAGTTGCCAATTGTTTATAACAAGGTAATTAAGTTCCATAGTTATGCAACGAATGTGTTTAAAAATTAATTTACTATTGATAGCAGAATCCTCCTACCTTGAAAGCTCAATGAGCATGGGTAGGTATTTTTTTTAAAATTTGTTAGCTTTGCAACATTTTTTGTCCTACTACCTCCGTCTTGAAATATAAAACAAAACGTTTGTCCTGCTACTCGCACACATTTCAACTTGTTGTACTCCATATTTTTTCTTCATCCAAGATCCTCAGACTTTTTGATTTGAAACAGCTGCATTCCTTTTTTTTGCAGACAAGCAGCTTATGCAGCTCAGACGAGTTGATTCAGTTTGATCCTCCACAGCTCCCGTTCAACTACCTTCCCAACATGCGGGTGTCCATGTTGCGCTTGCTTAAAATAGTCAATGTTACAGATCACATCGTCGGTTTCAATACATGGGCTCATGAAGACAATTCTGCGTCCTACGCAATAGAACCGCGTGCAGGGATCCTGCCACCACAATCCACGCAAACAATCAAGGTAAGAAGGACCCTAAAGGAAAATCAAACGGAGGACATGCAGTGCAAAGACAAGATTTTTGTGTGGAATGGAATTGTAACTGAAGGTGTCCAACTTAGCGATGTCGGTAAATACTGGAAGGATGAAGATAAAGAGTTGAACGTTATTCTAACAAAGGTGAGTTTCCTAATTAGTCAGTCTTAAGGGCCCATTTACCTCTGTGGCTCTGTCAGTTACAATAACTCATCCCATTTGGGAATGGCCAATGAGTACCATGGACAAAAATAGTAGTATATGTATGTTGACACAACTAATAACTATGGGCTTCCTATACATGTTGCCAGCCTGGAGAAAGCAGTTCAAGGTAGAATCGGCAGCATGGTCGAATCTCTTGGACGTAAAGCAGGCTTGACAAGGTAACTAATGTCTTTCTCAATACTACTTTTGTTTGTGGCTTTTAGTCTGAGCTTTTATATTTGCGGGGTTAGTCTGAGCATTTTGTTAAAACCCTTGAACTATGTTGCCAGTTTCCATGCTGCATGGTGTTGGTTTGGTTTCCTTTTTGTAGCTCGAGAGCGAGTTGCAAAAAGTAAGTGCATAATCTCAGGGCTCTGTGGTGTAAATCGGCAGACATTGTTTCTTTGGGGTAATGGAAACTGGCGAAAAGATACTAAGATAATTGCTAGTCTGTAAGGATTAAATTTTAGATCCCTGCAAAAATATATATTAAACCACATACGAAACGACACTGGAATGGATAATATCAATTTTAAGAAAAGTAGTATGTGCCAAAAAGAATATAAAAATAGTTATCCATCGAAAAAATATACCCATGCCTCAGTATCAGGCACATGAACTTTATGCACACTCAGCGGTGCCGTATATTTTTTGGATTGTTTTCTCCGTTGATCTTTCCTCCAATAGATGCGTGGGAGTCAATTTACTGGTTTTCTTTTTCTTGTTGTAGTGCAGCCACACCAGAACTGCTTGCTGCCAACCATTATATTGTCTTTCCGGTAAAGGCAGGTTTGGGCTATGCCCATAAATCCCACATAGTTTGTATCTAGCAAAATGTTTAAGCAGGGCCCAAATTAACAAATGTGTTTTACAAGTGTATAATTATGAAACAGTTTTTAGTAAATTACAGGGAAGGGCTGGCAAAGCAAGTCATTTATAGATTATTAGCTCAACTAGCAAAGTGGCCCGCTCGATGCGCGGCCTAGAACTTGTAAAGTTTAATAGTTGCATGTTTAATCAGTTTAAGGTTGAAATTAAGTTACTCCTAACTATAAATATTTATTGCTCATTTTAAAAAAATCCAGAACGAATATGAAATTAAAACTATTTGATTTTATATATAGAAAGTTTGGATACTTAAAACAACTTCTTTAGCATATTTTGTTGTCGAACAAATGCATAGAATATGTTGTACAACTAAAAGGCTGCAGGGATACAGAAAATTTACAAACATGCGATCCTCATGCTTGAGCACACACACACACACACACACACACACACACAATGTTATAGCCATCATAACCATAACAATGACATACCACGTGCATGATTTCCCCGACTATGATACAAAATCTGCCATAAAAATGGTTAATTTTGGGGTTCATTGAGTTTTCATTAATGAATCCCTGACAAAATGATGTAGTAACTAAATAGCATCTCTAATAGAACGCAATGGACCATGTACATGTTCATCTTCCAGATCCAGTTAAGTTAACCATGCCGGATGGCAAGGCATATTTGAAATTTATGCTTGCAGAAGTTGGAAGATACAGAACTAATGTGAATATAGACTATTATCCAAATCACCATCACACATCAAAACAGCATTCTGTGTGTGCGTCACTAATGATCCATGTATGGCACACTCCTAAGAAAAGAAAAACAATTTTATTAATCTATATGTTGACATTTACAACAATGATTATTTATGTTCTCTAAATGTGTAACAGAAGTCCCATTTTTAGTCAGCTTTCATTATACATTATACTGAATCAAAAATTCTAGAAAAATTATTACCGTATAGGCATATATCATATGTATAGTATATGCCATTTTCTCTATACAGAACTATTACACACAAACATATGTTAACTGGAAGAATGTGAAACACCTGTTAAGCTGGGCTAGAAAACACCTGATAAGTTATAACCAATCTTTGAGCAATAGGACATATGCACAGACGACCAAACATACTAAAAACTAATTGGATGCATCGATTATGAAAAGAAGATGACAACAAATATGCATTACTGTGTTCCCATAGTGAAAGGACAAGTAGAAATCCTTTAGATCCTCATTGAAAACGGAATTAAGATTTGTTACCAGAAGAAATAATCGATTTTAGTGTGTATGGACCTCCGCTCAAAATTATACCTGGATCCATGAGTTCATAACTCCATGATGGACACTTAGATGTAGAAGGGAACGGCATTGGCTGTTTGTCGTCATGTATGGAACGACGTTGGAACCGGAGAGTTGCGGGCTGGTATCAAAATGGCTCGATCAAAGCGGGCAAAACCACACTGAGGCAGATGATGTTCATCAGCATAAGGAAACTCACAACGATCATCCTTTTGGAAGATTTGCCGCAGGTGTCGTCCCACCTCTGATCCTGTCCTTCGGAGCCTACTACCCGGCCCGTTTCTCCCGATCAGAATTGAACCCAAGGATCCTAAGGCAATCCATGGACGTTCTTTTGTGGATGCATGCGGGTATATATATATGAAAGGCATCAGGCACGCCCTACTCTCCTAGCTTTGGTTACCAGAAAAGCTTCAGTTGTGGCTTCGAGGCATCTAATTCTTGTGTGTACGTGTGTGTGACATGATGGTTGAAGTTAGTTTTCTGGCGTGCACCTAGCAAGCTGAAGCAGATTCTCTATTTTACTCTATCTTCCCGTCTTGTTATTTTGCTGGACTAATTACTGATCTAGTGCTCCATGGTGTTTCATGTTTCACCGCTTCTTTGCATGGCAGCAGCAGACTTCTTATCCTCATCAGCTTTCATTGTCGGGTTGGTGTTGCCGTAAGAGCAACCACTACGGCAGCCGCCATGTACAGGAACGCATATGTCCGGCTCCGTTCGGTCAGACGCAACCATTATGGCAGCTGCAATGTCGCCCATCAGAACGCACGTGTTCGGCTCTGTCCGACCAGGCATAAACACCTCCGCCTCCATCTGGAATAACTCTGGAGTTCTCCCTAGCATCACTTGATTACAAAACGACTCCATTGTATGAAACAAAGGCTTTAATGGACATGAGCATTGCATGTCCTTTAAATAGGAGCAGCCCACATTTTTTTTATTGATGCAGCCCACGTCCCAATTTTCCTGCAAGTAATGAAACGTTTTCTTTCAATATAATTGTAATGGCAGTGGTGGGTAATTTGTTGACTTAAAATCTTATCTAATGGCTATAAAAACTTGATCTATTAAGTTGACGGACGGATGTTTCTAATTTTTGTGGTAATTTCTAGCCTATTTCTCTTTTTTCTGGTTAACCCATCAAGTACTTTTTATATATAATAAATAGATTGTCCTTTTTATAGATTATTAGCTCAACCGTCGTGTGTACTAGTTCTCAGCTTGTAAATTCCTAACTTAGAGCATGTTTATCTATGTAGGCCTATCATGGGTTTGTAACAGAACAGAAATTCAGGAAATGGACATGTCTAGTGTACAAGAATAAGTCGGCAATGAGCTTGAGGACGAGGAACATCTGGGTGAAGCCTCTGCCTTGCTCGTCATCGATGGAATTATCTAATTATTAATAACTACTCCCTCCGTTCCGATTTACTCGTAGCGGTTTTAGTCCAAATTTGAACTAAAACCACGACGAGTAAATCGGAACGGAGGGAGTAGTACATATGCCCGTGCGTTGCAAGGGGTGGAAAAATTGACAAAACTTGCTTCAGTTGTCACTACGCTCCACTTATATCCAAGTATGACAAATGTTGAAATTAGGTTGCATATCCGGCTGTGTTGCGACGGCTTGAATTATCCGTATTTGGATCATGAAGCGTTCATGTGAGAAGCCACCCTAACGTCCTTCATTGCGCATACTTAAGCTCCACATTTCCATCGAATTAAAGAGTAGTGATTCATGGAATAGTCTTTAGTGGGAGAAACATTCAATATGATTTGTAGGGCATCTCCAACGCT